ACGTGCATGGACATACATGCATAACATGCATACACTGCACACACATACATAAACATGCATCCACATGCATGTGCATGAGCATATGCATGCATGCATATACACGTTCTTACACATATACATGCACATACACGTTCATACACACATACACGTTCATACACACACACATACATATACACACATATAACATAAAACAGGAACAAAGAACATGAACAGCTATGTCTCCAAAAATGGGAAATAAATACGAAAAAATGGTGAATGCCAGAAGCTAGATGCTAAAGAGTGTGTGTGTTTGTATGTGTGTGTTTGTGTCTGTCCGTCTGCCTATATCTATGTCTGTAACTTGTGGGAGGAAGTTACACATAGGCAAATTGAGTAAACCTGTTCGGTGTTGGTTCTGAGTAGAAGTAAGGCTGAGGGAAAGGCAGGATGCTTTACCGTGCAGTCTTCGTGGCTGAATGTTTTCACCTGAGAAGTCTGCTACTTGTCACAGAGTAGCAGGTTTATTGTATTTTGTTCGTTTGTTTTCAAGAGAGGGTTTCTCTGTGTAGCCTTGGCTGCCCTGAACTTGCTTTGTAGACCAGGCTGGCCTCGAACTCACAGAGATCCACCTGCCTCTGCCTCCCTGAGTGCTGGGATCACAGGTGTGCACCACTGCGACCAGCTGATTTATAGCTTTAAGAGTTCGTAAAAAGCATCTTTGAATCCTTTGGCATTTGGCATTAACAGGAGAAATAATGAACCACAAAAGAATGTTTAGTCCACTCATGATCAGACTCAATTTAGCTTTTTATGTCTTAGACATTGACAATGACAAAAAAGTATTGATAGCTTTGGTTTTGTTGAGGATGTAGGAAAATAGCTAATGTGTTTCTGGTGTGAGTGTATTTGGTCCAGAGTTTGATACAAACTTTCTACAGGTCAGTTTGACTGATAGAACTCTTAAAAGAATATATCTTAAGTTGCTTGTCTTAAGGAATTTGCCCAAGGAAATAGATGAGAAAAAATTCATAAATTACATATCAGATTATATGTGTCAGAAATGAAAGTACATATAATTTACTGTTAGTGGTGAGTAGCTACTCACTCTTGGTTTTGGCGCCTCAGCTAGTCAGGATGTCATCCATTCAGAACCATGTAAAGGTTAGACGTCTGTGATGCGGTTGGATGTGTGTTCAGACCTCACGTTTACAGTCTCAGTATTTCAAGAGGTAGGCTAGGCTGGGTTCCCCTCCCCAGAGTGTGTACACAGCGAGCCTGAAGTGTTCTGCAGAGCTCGTTGTTTTCACTGTGTAGCTTTTGTGTTTACAGTTGTTGAATTTTGTGTGTATGTGGTTGGGGGAAGGCTCATGTGTTGTATGTTGTCTGTGTCCTGCATGTGGGGAGCAGAAGAGGACACTGGGTGTCTGTCGTTACCGCTCTTCATTTTGCTGCCTTGAGACAGTCTCTGACTAACAGGAGCTCACTGATTCTGCCAGCCTCTCTAGCCTGCAGCCCTTAGGAGCCACTCGCTGTGCCCTCCACATGTGCTCACTTGCACGCGTTCTTTTATGAGGGTGCTGGGGATTGGATCTCAGATCCTCGCGTTTGCAGAGAAGCGTTCTTACTTGCTGAGCCGTCTCCTAAGCTCTTATATTTTCATTTTTTATAGTGACTATCCACTGTTTCTTACGAGTGAAAAATCCGTTAAAGAAAAGGCAACATGGGGAATACACAGTGATGTAGCAGTTTATTTACATGTACATATGTTTTGGTGAATAATAAAGTTTAACTCCAGTGGCTTGATGTGTAATAACTTACTGTAATAGCATCTTTCCCTCTTGTAGGCCTAGAAGAAATTGCAAAAGAAAAAGAAAAGCTTAAAAAGGCAGAAAGTCTCCAGATCAAAGAAGAAGTCCTGGAGACTCCCCTGGACGCTCTAAACTGTTCCACCACAGATCACTGTGAGCAGAAGGACGACCTTAAAGAGAAAGATAGCACGAATCTGTTTCTTCAGAAGCCTGGCTCCTTCTCCAAGTTAAGCAAACTTTTGGAAGTCGCTAAAATGCCTCCCGAGTTAGACGTCATAACCCCCCCAAAAGCGAGTGTTAGCACTAACGGGTGCGCGCTGCCGCCTCCGAGCAGCGGGAAGCACGCGCTGGGGGCCCTGGGGAGCCTCCCCGCCGCGGCCCCGGGCGCGGGGAAGGCGGACGCGGCCCTGTTCAGCCCCGGCTCCGGGTGCGCCAAGTTCTACAGCCCCCTCCCCAACGACCAGCTGTTGAAGACGCTGACCGAGAAGAACAGGCAGTGGTTTAGCCTCCTGCCCAAAACGCCTTGTGATGATACTTCCCTGACCCAGGCCGACGCGTCCGCGGCTCCTCAGGCCCAGCCACCCTCCAAGTCGCCTTCGCCTGCGCCAGCTCCCCTCCTCGGGCCGCCTTCTGTCCCGAGCCCCGCGGGGCTGAATCCGTTTGCTCTGTCCCCGTCGCCTCTACAGGTTAGTAGTGCTCACCTGACAGAGCATCCATGACGGTACTTAGTCGAACCTTTGGGGACCTTCGCGGAGATCTTCACATCAAAGTTAGAACACCCTCACGCCGGCCTGGAAACGGAAGCAGACAGAATTCTGCCACCAGGAGGCACTGGCACTGCTACTATCCACCTGTGTCTAAGCTGCCCTCACCCTCGGGGGACAAGTAACGCAAAAGTTAACGTTATTGCTAAAGTATTTAGTTTTACTCTGGTCTTAGAATTTGAAAGATAATTTCAGTTTCTAAACATTTCCCCAACTCTGCAGATTAATTGGTATTTTGTTTTATAATTTATTTTATTATAGTAGGTATATGGAGAGCAGAAGATGACTTGCAGGAGTTGGTTCTTTCTTCCCAAAACGTGGGCCCATGGGACGGATGCCGCCAGAGCCTGTAGCAGGAGCCTTTGTCCTCTGAGCCCTAATCTGAGTTAGAAACGTTTTGTTTTACAGGTGAAAAGCAGTGTGTCTATGATGGGCCTTCAGTTCTGCGGGTGGCCGGCCGGAGTGCTCACTTCCAGTGTCCCCTTTCCGTCCCCTTTGCCTGGGCTGGGCTCGGGGTTGGGACTGTCAGAAGGAAACGGCAGTTCATTCTTGGCTTCCAGTGTTGCTTCAAGTAAAAGTGACTCCCCAGTCCCTCCACCCGAGAAGGCGTGCGCAGCTCAGCCAGCAGCTGTTGAAGCAGCAAAGCCAGTGGATTTTCCCAGCCCAAAGCCGATCCCAGAAGGTAAGTGCAACGAGATGGCTTGCGGTCACTTGCTGCATCTCGTGGTGACAAATTCCTTTTCTATGAATCTATCTTTGATGGATTTGCTTTATGCCACCATTTCCTATTCATAAGCGTGTAAACCTACTGTCGTGACTTAGAAATGCAGTTTGGTTGGTGGAGAATCATTGACCCAGAGGACCTGAAGACCTTGCTGAAAGTGCTGCATCTCCGAGGGATAAGGGAAAAGGCGCTACAGAAGCAGATACAGAAGCACCTGGATTACATCACCCAGGCCTGCACCAAGAACAAGGACGGTAAGTGCCTGAGAGATTTCTGCTCTCTTACGGTGAAAATTCATTTTTTTTCCCTAAAACATTTTCATGTCTGAAGTATTTCTTCCTTTGACTTATTTTTCGAATTATTTTTATTATTTTTAATCATGTGATTGATTGTGTGTGGGTATATGTATGCATAAGCCAGAGGTGTTGGATCTGCCTGGAAACCCCAGTTACAGGTGGTTGTGGGCCAACTAATGTGCATGCTGGGACTCAAACCTGAGCCCTCTGGATGAGCAGCTCATGTTGTTAGCCACTGAACCATCTCTCCAGGACACATACTTTATTTGTTTTAAACGTTTCTTAACAGTGACCAACTGCTTTCCTCAGGCTGTATTCCTTCCCTTCCAGTTTTAGCCCCCATACACTTACTGTTCAGTGTGTCTTCCACGATTTCTTACTGAGCAGGGAAGTGCCTGTGTGTGCACAAGTACATTTGTATATGTTCCAAAAGTCGATGTATGTAGTGTCCCCAGCATTTTCTCATCCGGGGGAAGAAATTGTGTGGAAGGGTTAAAAATGAAATAAAATTTAAAGCAAATCTCTTTTCGAACATAGTTGCTATTATTGAATTAAACGAGAATGAGGAAAATCAGGTAACTCGAGATATCGTGGAAAACTGGTCAGTAGAAGAGCAAGCAATGGAACCGGATCTGAACATCCTCCAGCAAGTGGAAGACCTGGAACGGAGGGTGGCGTCAGCAAGTTTGCAAGTGAAGGTAAAGCTGGCTTGGCATAAGTCTGTTTTTAGGAAAATGGAAGGTAATTAATTTTTATTATGTGCCTAGTATAACTAGTTATTGTAGATAACTAGATATTTTCACATTATTTCATTTAATTCTCAAAACAGTTGTGAGTTAATTTCTCTCATCTTACAGGTCATCATGGAAGTCACAAAAATTGTGCGCAAACTAAGCTTGTTTGACTGTATAGCCTATGTGATTTTATTTTCACATCTTGCTGCCTCCTTAACAGTGTTCACAGAAATCTTTTCTGGTATGGAGTTCTTTACTTCACACAAACTTATTTTCACCTTGATAAATACAGTTTTCTTGTATAAACCTTACCAGTTTAAATTGGAAGACAACACAGACATCTTGGGTTCGTGTTCTAACAATCAGCAGACACAGCCCGCACACATATGTGAAGCACATAGTCTTTATCTGAGGGCTGTGGCATGTCACAGGCAGTGGTCAGAGCTGCCCTGCACCAGAGAGGCGGAAGGAAGGCTCCCCGTGCTGCGCAGGCTTAGGCTGGAAAGAGGGCAGGTGGGGAGGTTGGTTCCGTAAGTGTGTGCTTGCGGACTAAGCACAGAAACCAGCAGGGTTTAGAAAGCTGCGTCTCCTGTGCCACTTCATTGATATTTGTACTTCATTCAGAAGGAAAACGCATGGCATAGTCCTGTCCTGCCCAGTAATTTCAATTTTGCTTCATAATTAGTTATGAAGGCCTCTCAAAACTGTCATTTTCCAGAGCTAATATAATATCCTTTCTTGCCACAAATATAATTACTAACATTAGAAAGCAAAATTTATCACTTCCTGGAACTATTGTGCTATAAAACTGCGTATCTCCTCTTCCTAGTCTATGCACTGTCCACACGCCTCATTTATCTGGCATCTTCAACAAAGGAACTCTTCCACACAAGTTAATTTTGTGGAGAAATGAAAATTATTCCATTTAGTGCCATAATTTTTTTTAACATGTTTGTTGGATCTCTTAGTTTATGCATTTCACTGCCTCCTTAAATTGAGAATAATGAGTGTAATTTAAGTTGTCTTGGTGACACAATATTATTAGCATGAAGACCAATTATCAAGTTGTGAGTCCCAAGGAAATGTGAAAGGTTTTGCCTGTGTACTGAACATAGCCGCCTAGCTTTCTAACCCACAGCACATGCTTCCCACACTCTGATTTTGCCCTTTCTCACGGTCACTTGTCACTGCTGGTTGGTTCATATGGTTTTAATCTTCCTTCAGCTTTATTCAAATTTGCCAATGTTAACTGACCAGCAGTTGGGAAAGCATGTCACGTGTGGAGAGTGTGGCCTGGGACAGTCTCACTGGATGTCTTGATCTTACCACATCATAGGCGTTTGTGCACTTGTTGGTGTTTTCAGCAGCCTAGATGAGTGGAATTTCCTGCGTCAGTGAAGTGTCTTAGCATCCTATTAATAAGCAAGTCATGGATTGTGCTGTGGTATTCTGAGAACTGAATCATAATTTTATTAGTCTGAAATTGTCTTTAAGTGATGAAAATGGTAAAAATAATAATAGATTGTTTTACTATCTATAGAAGACTTAATCATATTTTTTTTTCATAAAATGAAAATACTTTAGCTTAAGGAGCCTGCCATTGTGAAGGCACATTAAAGCCGTGATGTTGGACTAGTGGGTGTATTTGTTTGCATTTTTAATATTGCTAATAATGTTGACATTTTCTTTGTACATTGTAGGAAAATCTTACCCTAGTCTTGTTTGTAGAGAACGCTGTAGTCCTGTTACTCCCCACTGCCCTAGGGATAGCTCTGTCTCTTGTTTTCTCTCCTGTGAGCTGACTAATTCCTTCAACCACCAGCCCTATGAAGGTTTCCAAGCCCTGGTGCTTCCTGAAAAGCCTAAGGCTCTACCACCTCTTTCAGATACTGAATCCATAATTGTATATGGAGATGTCCACAGGTGTGCATAGGATTTTCCTGTCCTTAATTTTCTCCATCACCACTAACTGAACTCTTTAATACCCGCACCATCCCTGGCTTTACTAAGTATGAGCCACAGCACAAGCCCCCGAACCTCTTTTACATATTCTAATTTTCTGGTTCATCCCTGAAGCCTCACAGCTAGAATTTGCATTTATCTTTGTTATATCATTATTAGCTTTATTTGAGTGTACTTTTCAGCGTGCAGAGCTGCTTCTATTATACTCTGTTACCTAAAGCATTAAGTTTTCTTCCTAGTTTTAAATCTTACAGATCCATAGCAATCAACTAAATCATTCACACTTGTATTAACACAGCAAATCAAATGAAGAGCCTTTGGACACTGGTGCTAGGATGGTTTTGTGGGTGCAGCCGTCCAGATTTCGATTCCCTGGTTTCTGCTGTTTTGCTTCCCATTTAGAATGTGGAAAGGCTCCGTTTGAATTTTCAATGGGATTTAATTTGCAAAGAATTCATTTTGTTTTTTATTTAATATACTTTTGCTTAGTAGCTGTTTGTTATCAGACAACAGACACTACATAATTGGACAAAAATGTGCTTCTAGTTCCCAGAAAGCTTGTCTTGTAGTAGGAAGTTAAGGTGTGGGCACATGCGTGCAGCGTCCAGTCACTAACTAAACAGGTGCAGTTTTGTGCGTGAATTGTAACAAGTGGATTTGCTTCTGCTCAGTGTTTGAGAGAGCAGTCCAAGCCGTGCACAGTTGAGGCGTGTAAGAAGAGTGAGATTTTGACAGACAGAGACCAAGCAGTTGGTACACTAAGGAGGGAGAGCAGGAACAGGAGAGCAGGAACTGAGATCTTCCCATGGGGAGAGAGGCGCAGGAGTGTGGATGCAGTGTGTGTCTGAACGGAACGCGAGAAGCCCGGTAGATGTAGGCTCCTGAGGATCGACGGTGGTGAAAGCTGGTTAAAAGGTGCGCAATCTTTGATTTGAGGTCAACGGATCAGTGGGAACAAGTTTGGTTATTAGACTATTCATTTATTCAGTCGATATGTATATATTGAGTACCCATTGTTTTACCCTTTCTGTGCTGGAGATAAATGAGTAAAGACTAAGCGGGCACCAGCCCTCATGAGATGGGGGGGGCTCATCCTGCTGCTAAAGGTGCAACCATGGCAAGGCTGTGGAGCGGCTTAGGATCTGGGAAAGCCTACAGCGGGGGCATAACTCCCGAAGGACTCAGGGAAGGTCTCCTTCAGGGAATGATTTCATGGCATGAGTGCTGCGAGATGAATGGACAGAGTTGGTGAAGACAAGGAAGCCTTTAATGGGCAAGGGTACTTGCATATGCCGAGTCCTGGGGTCAAATGGAAAGTGGTGGGTATGAGCCCTTGCATGGGGACATGAAGGCTTGAAGACAGAAATCAAGAGAAGATTTCCCACTAAGACATTCCTTTTCCGTGTGTGCCTGGCATTACTGAACGTGTTAGTCTAAACCTTTGCAATCCTTTGCTGACTTCTACAACTAATGTAATCAATGTTATTTTTCACCCAGTTTCCTTACCAACTGCTTTTCCTTTTTTTTTTTTTTAAACTCCTGTTTTATCCTAGCATTAGGAGACACAAGGTAAAACGTTTTAGTAAAGATTCATGGGATCTGCTGGTGTTCGCTGCAGCATTTTAAGTAAAGGTGACTCATCCATCTAACACTGTCAGAAGAAAGCATAATGACATCATTTTCTTGATGTATAGGGTTGGATGTGTCCAGAGCCTGCGTCAGAAAGGGAGGACTTGGTATATTTTGAACATAAGTCATTTCCTAAGTTGTACAAGGAGCATGATGGAGAACACACTGGTGAAGAAGCCGCCAGTGCGCATGCCCTGGCACGGAAGAGCGACAACCCCCTAGATATAGCTGTAACCAGGCTGGCTGATTTGGAGCGGAACATTGAGAGAAGGTATCTGAAGAGCCCCTTAAGTACCACCATTCAGATCAAACTGGATAATGTGGGCACAGTTACTGTCCCTGCTCCTGCACCATCCATTAGTGGTGATGGTGACGGGTAGGTTATTGAGATTAACTTGACAAATTATTGTGCTTCTTTGCTAATTGGAGCCTATTTTCTATTGCCTGTTATCTATGTATCTTCCTGTATGTCTGTGATCCATGTGGATCATGCTATTTGCATGGTGCTTTGTAAAAACTTTTTTTTTTTTTTTGTTTTGTTATGTGCATTGATAATTCTGCAAAGTGATCTTACATTTATCTGGTTGTGACTAAGCTTCAAGGCACGTAGCCACAGTCTGTGCACTACATCAGATTTAGTTGCTTAAACTTTATACTTACTGGCTGTTACATGTTTTTGTCATTGCTTGGCTTTCGGTGTGATGATTGTTTCACATTCAGTGACCATTAAGTGTGGCCATGACCTACTCAATTTCTCTATATCTCAATGCAGAGTTGAAGAGGATATTGCTGCAGGGCTCAGGGTCTGGAGAAGGGCGTTAGCAGAAGCTCGCAGTGCCGCACAGGTAGCCCTGTGCGTCCAGCAGTTACAGAGGTCAATAGCATGGGAAAAATCAATTATGAAAGTTGTAAGTGTTCTTCTTTAAGAAATACTATGACTGATTGCCGCTGTCTTGTTTTCTCCCCCAACCTCCAGATCTTTCCTACCTATGTTATACCATATGGTTACACTGATGTATGCTGTACTTGGGAGCGTGTCTAATTCTTAAATACCGTATAATCTATACTTTCCCCTATCTTGAGCTTTTTATAGCAATCCGAAAAATAATGTTGTCTTCTCTTTGCTCAAATTTTGTTTTTGTCTCCTTTGAATACTCGTTTATAATCATAACAAGTTGCCTCCTATATGAGCATAATGGTTGTTAATCTAAATATTTTAAAGGCTGTTGACTCCTGTAAGCGCTCTACCTTCGGGCGTTATCTGCTCCATGAGGCCTGAATTGTTTTACTTTTCTGGACTAACCATAATACTAACTACAAACAGAGAGCCCAGACGTGTGTGTTTGTATCAGATATGGTTAGCATAAAGGGCAGAAACCTTCAGCTTTTCTCCTGATAACTGAAACTGGTTTTCTCACCTTTGTATACCCCAGTTAATTATTGGATAGTGAGCATTCATATGTGCTAGGCTTCATAATGTCATATATTTAAAATAATAGCTGTAGTTTACACCCTTTCAAAAAGATGGTTGCTTTAAATCATGTACAAAGTGCTGCTACCTATTTACGTACCATGTGGAAGCGCCTATTGCATATAAACTTTCATGAATTAGTTTGTTTCTTAATTAAAGACCAGCTTTAAAATGCAAATATTTCAGACTTTTTTTCATGAAGAGCTAAAGTTGAAAGTTGCTTTATTGAAATAGTCATTCCCAAGAAAACAACAGATATTCATCAGTCAGTATTCCCTTCTTCAGTGTTGCCTTGGTACCTGTACTGCTCAAGGCCTTATATGCAGCTCCTGCAAATAAATTTTGTGTCATCTGTTTTTTTTCTTCCTAAAGATGTCTGTGGAATCTGAATATGCGGTTTTTTTACAGTATGTTCAAACTTAAGTCTTTTTCAACTCATTAAAATTTACTATATATCTGAAAGCACTGTACAGTTCATCTGAGAGCGTTCTCTTAAACGTAAAAATATATTTATCCTAAAGGTATTAAAAATATAATAAAATCAAGGCAAATCTAATAATCTCTTTGGATAAATGTATTTGTTGGAATCTAGACTAAAGTGAATAATAACATTTGAGTTTTACCTTACAATGTAGTTTATAATTTTTGTACCCCCCTGTGAAGTCATGATAATGGCCCGATTTGTTATAAGGTAAACAAAGAGACTAAGCATTGCTGTTTGTATCCTTCCCTTAGCTCCTTTTTATTGTTTGATAATTGCGGCAGGCTGGCCGCAATTGTGTAGCCCAGTGTGTCCCTGAACTCACAGCTCTCCCTCCTCTGTCTCCCATGAACTGAAATGAGAGCCAGGCACTGCCACGCCTAACACCTTCTGCAACCTTAGGTCCTTTCAATGTCAAGATTCATCAGCCTTTCCATGCCATCAGTGTGCATGTGGCGTCATTTAATATTATCACTGCAGTCATTTAGAAATACTCACTGACACATTGTTTGCGGCTGAGACTTGTGGCTCAGCAGTGGAGCACTTACCTCGCAGGCACAGAGTCCTGGCTTCCGTCCTCAGCACTGCAAACAATGATGGTGCTGGAGGCTGTGCTGCTGTTGCTGGTGATGACGATGATATATGATAGGGTTTGCTATCGATAAAGAAGAATTTTCATAACCTTTGATTAGACAGATGTCAGTGTCCATAACTGTCCGCACAGTAAATCTAAACAAAATATTAGAGAGTTCAGTATCCTTAAAAGTACTGTCTTAGTCAGAGAGCAAGCTTACCAGGAGAGAGGAAACTGCCAGTTTGCTTTTGGGCAGGCCTCTATTTTTTGCTTTTGTAATGTGGGGGTTAGAACGAAATATCAGCATGCATGCTCTTCCATAATAATTGCGAGCTTTTACTGTTATTTTTTTATATTTATCACCTTTTCTCTGAAAAGATAAAATGTTTTTTTAAAGATTTATTTGTTTTATGTACGAATGCTCTGTATTCATGCACAACAGAAGAGGGAATCAGATTCCATTACAGATGGTTGTGAGCTACCATGTGGTTGCTGGGAATTGAACTCAGGACCTCTGGAAAAGAAGCCAGTGCATTTATATTGTTATGGGGATTTAAATATAATCTTGCACATATTTCTGCATAAGTGTTTTAACAATAGAGTTTTTAAAGGTGGTGTGTAGATTTTGTAAGATGCCATTTTAAGTCAGTCAGTGGTATAGGATTCAGAAAATCCATCTGATAACACATACTTTGGGATTATTAAACTCTACCACTTTTGCACTTATGTGCACGACATTTTTATTATTATAATTATTTGATATATTTAATAGATATTTTTCATATTTATTCTCTTGAATGGTATGTGCATCCCCTTTTGATTGTGTTTTAAACTCTTTTGTACATACTGAGTTCAATAAGATTTAGAGTTTTCGAGGCTAGCATATATAATATATTGGAAACTAAACAAAGCAATATTGAATTATCTTGAAACATTCTTTTCTTGATTATAAATACCTAAATTTAATATAAATGAATTTCCATTTTAGTAATTTCACTTTTGCTGGGCTGTGATGGCACACACCTTTAATCCCAGCGCTTGGAAGGCAGAGGCAAATGGATCTCTGTGACTTCGAAGCCAGCTTAGTCTACCGAGTGAGTTCTAGGACAGCCACATAGAGAAACCCTGTGTCAGAAACAACAGTATCGAGAAAGAAAGAGATTGACTTTTGAAATGCAGAGTGTTCTGTCTTCTGACTGACTGCCTGAATTCAGACAATGTTAATGCTCCACACCCTCATAGCCACCCTAGGTGCTATCCAACTTTTCCTTCTCTGTTCATACTTAAAGTAGTTAATTATTTGATTACTTAAAGTCATTAGTTACACATTTTTAGTTGTAGAAAATGAATCATGACCGTAAATTTCTTTACTCTGTTTTGTTTTGTTTTGTTTTTTTTCTTGGAGATAATTTTATGAGATACATTTTCTATATTTGTGGCAGAAATTTGACTTGGGTTGGTTTTCAAAGTTTTCTGTTTTGGACCCTTCCCCCCTTTTTTTAGTCAGTACATAGCATAGATAAATAATGTACAATCTAGGAATATCTTCTTATTAATATGCATATTAATATGTAATTACACTAATACAAGTTTCTGAATTTTGATATTAAAACTATTCTAACTTTTCTTTCTCAGAATGTCATAAGGGCAATAAGATAAGCCAAGATGAAACATTAAAAGTCCCATGTATTGAAGCTCCTCATTGCTTTGTGTGCTCTGATGTCATGGTGATGTGTACATGCTTCTGAGCTGTGTGAGGGCATTCAGCCTCTAGCTTTGTTCTATGCAGTGTATCTGAAATGTGCATTTATCCCAAAAGAATTGCTCGCCCCGCCATGTGGTCCGTATCTGTGTGACGAGAGATACATAGATGTGTGTGGCTATTCTGTATCTGTTAGCAAGCGGAATGCACGTTACTAATGTGAACTAGGAGTTGAAGGTCGTGTCACCCCAGCAGCCAGTACTCAGAGCGGGCTCTCACCTGGGGTGGTTTCCTGTGTTGTAGTACTGCCAGATCTGTCGGAAGGGGGACAATGAGGAGCTGCTTCTCCTCTGTGATGGCTGTGACAAAGGCTGCCACACCTACTGCCACAGGCCCAAGATCACAACGATTCCCGAGGGGGACTGGTTTTGTCCAGCTTGCATTGCTAAGGTAAGAATGCTGGGAAAGTGATTTTTTAAACCAGAGTTTTGTGACTTGCTTTGTTTAAAGATATAAATCACATTTTATAACGTTCACCTTTAACAGTTTATTAACTTTTAATGCATGAACAAAATTAATGTGCAGTGTCACCAACTACCCAGTTCCAGAATATTTTCATAATACTGAAAGCCTTTTTATAAATGTACAGTTTGTCTGCCTTCTTCTTTTCTAAAATGCTTTGAATGTTCATGTTCTAAACTACTTCAGCGCCTCCTTTCACAGTCAGATAATACTTTCTTAGGTGGATTTACTCCATTTAGTTTATTGGTCATCAGTTGATTAGCAGCTGAGTTGTTTCCCCCTTTCAAATTCTCTTAGTGTTTGTGTACCAGATTTTAGAAGAACTGTATCTTGGATATGCAGCTTGGAGGAGAATGTCTAGATCAAATGACAATGAACAACTGTTATTTTCCGACATTTTTTTTGACAGGGGGACCAGTTAGGTTTAAGCTTTGTTTGTTTGTTTGTTTATGGTTTTTAGAGACAAGGCTTCTCTGTGTAGCCCTGGCTGTCCTGGACTCGCTTTGTAGACCAGGATGACCTTGAACTCACAGAGCTCCATCTGTTTCTGCCTCCTGAGCCCTGGGGTTACAGGCGTGCACCACCTCACTCGGCTTTTCAGTCATTTTTCAATCACATATATGGTAGAAACTTGTGAAGCAAATTCAGAGACTAATATAAATACATGTTTATATGTTAATATAATAAGTCAGGAAAGAAATGATTTGTGTGTGGTGACACACACCAATAATCACTTGAGCCATTGACAGGATGATGATGAACTCAGGGACCAGCTTAAGCTACACAAATAGATCCTGTCTCAATAAAAGAAGGATTAAGGATTTAGCCAAACTATACAGTGCTTTTGTATCATTTTCAAGGCCCCTGGGTTCAGTCCTTAGCACCACAATAAAATCAAACAGGAAGGAACAAAGTTAGTTTCAGAATTAAACTGTAAGCAGTTTGCCCCTTGTGGAGATGACGGTGTGCTGAAGCTGTGGCTCTGTGATCCCTTACATCTGACACCCTTCCAGCTCACACCTTCCTTACCTGACGCTTGCTAGACGCTTGCCTACTGTTCATGAGCTCAGTTCTCACCTTGCAATCCCCAGGCTACTCCTTCTGTCCCTCCAGTGTCCTCTTCCGTGCAGGACCTTCAGTTATGATCACTGTCTCCCTCCCTTGGGACTGGCCCTCATCTCCCATTGTTAGAGTGATTGCATCTGGTGTTAGGGCCCTCACTTCTCGGCATGTAAAACCATCATTGTGGTTGTGCCAACCTTCTGTTTACCCAGAGCCTTTATCTCAGCCTCTATGTGTGGCTGCGGACAGTACCCAGCCCTTTAAATTCAAACCATGAATAGCGCCAGTAGGCATGCACGGTGCTTTCTTCCAGGCCCACCCTGCCATCCTCACTCTCCCAAGCATCAGAGAGAGCTGGCCCCAGGCCTTGCGCCACCACAGTCTGTCTGTGTCTGGGCTCCAGGCCTTCCCTTCCCCACTGTGGTGAGTGGCCAGTGCTCACAGCTCTTGTTTCTCTTGGACCTCCTCAGGGACCTTCCCCTGGGCAGTTCTGCTCCTCTTCAGCCCACGCTCTCCAGGTTCCCTCAGCAACCAGCCATTGGGCCACCATTTCTCCAGTCTTCAGAATTCTAAGCGGAAGCCCTCTCTTCTCCTCACACCTCCCTTAATCAACTTCCCCTTCTCTCTCATTCTCTTTCAGAAAACTCTCATAAAAAGGGATCTCTTCTGGTTTCTCCCCACTCTTTTAAAAAATATTTGGAAATTAAAATAAAATTTAACCATTTTTCTCTTCCCTTTTCTCCCTCCAATCCTCATCCCTTGCTTTCTCTCAAATTCATATCTTCCTTTTTAAAATTATATATATACCATATCTTTCTACCTATCTATAGATATAGATATAGATATATATGTATTCCTAAATATATAAATACATGGTAGGCTGGAGAATTGCCTCAACAATTAAGAATGCTTGTTACTCTTTTTTTTTCTTTTTTTAATTTATTTTTTTATTAATTACAGTTTATTCACTGTATCCCAGCTGTATCCCCACCCTCACCCCCTCCCAAGCTCACCCTCCCTCCCTCTTTTCCTCCTGTGCCCCTCTATTTGTTAGTCTTACAGAGGACCTGGGTTCAGTTCCCAGCATCCACAGCCATTCCTAATTTCCGTTGCTAGAGATAAGACACTGTCTTCTGAATTCCATGGGCACCCACACGCACATGGCTCCCATATATGTGTGTGTGTCCAAAGGTGACCCTTATACACATAGGTTAGTGTGTGTGTGTGTGTGTGTGTGTGTGTGTGTGGTGTGTACACACACAGTGTAATGTTACTTGCACACATTTGATGTTAGGGCTGCACTTGGTGTTGGCTAACTATCCGAGGCGCTCATCCCCGGGAAAGGCTATTTCTCCTACTTCCAGCATTCCTTAGTTGCCTGTAGTTCTTTGTCTGGTGGTGGGGCCTGTGAGCGTTTCTTCTCTTGGTGGTGGTCTTATTCACTCACGTAAGCAGCCATGTTGTTGATGAGTAGAGCTCACCGTGAGTATAATTCACTCACATTCATGAGTATAGCTTCCCCGTCATGTCTAGGAATCTCAGTTCCACTGCAGACTTGCTTTTCCGCTGTCTTCTTTCTGCCTCTTCTTCCGCAGTCCCCCCAGCCTTAGATACCGGAGTTATTATATTGTAGTTGACACTGAATGACCTGAGCAGGAACATGGTTTCTCTTACTTTAGAGAGAACAGAACCACGTAGAGATTTTAACCCAGCATTTCTTAATAAATGGAGCAATAAGTTTCGTGTAAGAGATCTGGTATTTTATTCTACTCATCATTCTCCTCAAAAGGAGATACTTCCTCCCAATCCTTGTCTGTGCTTTGAACCACAGCTTGATAAGCTTCCTTCCTTATGTAGAAAGTAATTAATTTTTTGTTTGAGCACTTCAGAAATTGAATTTTCTGCTTGGTGCTTCCTGAGTCATTTTCCTGTTTGCTCTTACCTCTTTACTTCCTCTTCAGCATTCTGCGTAACAACCTCCATGGTTTTGTTCATAGACACGTTGCTTCCTACTCGGACCATGGTCTGAGAGGGCGCCCTGTGCGCCTCCCCTGGCCAGCAGCCTAGACTGCAGATCCACTGGACCTAAGTTCCAAGTGCAAGACGTAGAACTGCGTCTCCAGGCTCTCTAAGATAGCTCTTTTCCCTTCTTTATGAGGTGTTACTCTTATACTACGGGAGGAAAAAATCCCCAGATCTCTGCAAGAGGACAGTTACCAATCTTCCAGAACTGTTAGTATTTCTTGTTGATCCTGTCAAATGTTTGTGATTTCAAATAATAGAATGTCCATAAACAGTTACTTTCTTATACCCCATTTCTTCCTTTTCTTTTCTTTTTTTAAATTAAAGGCAAGTGGTCAGACTATAAAAATTAAAAAAATTCACGTCAAAGGAAAAAAGACAAATGAATCCAAGAAAAGCAAAAAAGGAAATGTCGCCGGGGACACTGAAGATGAAGACTCCGCTTCGACGAGCAGCTCACTGAAGAGAGGAAGCAAAGATCTCAAGAAAAGGAAAATGGAGGAAAACACTTCTATCAGCTTGTCCAAAGTAGAAAGTGTTTCTTCTGTTAAGAAACCCAAAAGAGATGACTCCAAGGACCTGACTCTCTGCAGGTATTTCTTTCCTTCAGTTGTTCTGTGCCCTCTGTCTAATTTGGCAGTACCAAGGTGTAGGTACCGATTTCAAACATTATTTTCTTTAGTATGATCCTGACTGAAATGGAAACACACGAGGATGCCTGGCCTTTTCTACTTCCTGTAAACTTGAAACTTGTACCTGGCTATAAGAAAGTTATTAAGAAGCCTATGGATTTTTCTACAATTAGAGAAAAACTAAATAATGGACAGTAAGTAAACCATTTCTGTTAAGTAAACAGTGAGTATTGATAATGAAGTTTTAACAGGAAGTATTTGTAGAATTTGTGAAAGCATGATTCCTAGAGTGCATGAGACATGTCTCCGCTGCCCTGACTGACAGACTGTGGATGAGGGTAGGACGGTGTGTCAGAGATGTGATTGGCAGAGGAGTTAGTACCTCGAGGATTGTTGTCCTCCCACAGAATTGTAAGAAGTCACACAGGAAATAGGATGTGGGAAACATAGAGCAGTTAAAAAACATCTTTTTGTTTTTCTTACTGTTTTTGCTTCAAGATGAGGTTTTTTCCTTTGTAGTCCAGGCTGGCCTCAAACTTGCATTTGCTCCTTTGTCCACCAGCCACGTGCTGGGATTGCAGTTATGGGTTCCATGTGTGTCCTAGAAAAGATCCTGGTTCTATGAGCGAGAGAGCACTTTGCTTTGCTCCTGAATGCCTTTAATCCAGCACCGCCCAGAGCTGCTTTCAAGAGGATGTGTCCAGGCGCAGCTGCCCTGGTCTCACTACCTCTCCTGTGTTATTTCTTAGCTTCTTTTCTGTTTTCAGATCCACCGCGAGAAAGCAGTCTGTAACGATGTGTTTCCTTTCAGGTATCCCACCTTTGAGACCTTTGCTCTAGACGTCAGGCTTGTTTTTGACAACTGTGAAACATTTAATGAAGATGACTCCGACATAGGCAGAGCTGGCCACAGTATGCGAAAATACTTTGAAAAAAAGTGGACAGATACCTTCAAAGTGAGCTGAAGTTGTAATCTCCTTTTTCTCTTTTTCCTTTTAAACAAGGACAAACATGACCAGCAATGTGAACTGCATTTACACGGATGTGCAAGGCACATACATAACTAACTTTTTCCCTTAAAGTAAGTGTGTGTGTATATATATACATATATGTGTGTATATATGTATGTGTACATATATATGTGCATATATACACACACATTCGTATATATATATATATATATATATTTAAAAAAGGATGGGAAAAATGATACCATTTTTAGAGGCTTCACTCCTACAGCCAAGCCCGTTGGTCACGGGTTTGTGTGATTTATCAGCTAATTTAGGTAGAACAGGGAAGCACACCCAAAGAATTTTTAAAGGAAAGGGTGTCATAGTGCAATAGCAATTAAACTCTATTACACCGCACTGAATCGCCAACACCAGAGCTCTAACGTGGGGAATGGTTCTCCTTTCCCTCTCAATAAATATCTATTTTTCATTTTTTTACTTTGTAGTTTATTTTTTAGTGAATGTATTTAATTTTATGAATTATTTATGATTAAACCACATCCAGAATCTTCGTTTTCTGTGAAAAGGAAGAATAGAAAATTGCTTTAAATCTTGAAAATACAACAAGGAATGTTTTAAAAGATAAAACAAAGCCAAGTTAAACTGTTTACACTGGTGTGCTCTGACAGCACCAAAAATAACCCTTACTGTAGAGTCACAGTACATTTATATAAGTGTATATATATGTTGTGCACCGCTTGTGTAGTTAAAGTGTACTGAAGCCAGTGGGGATTGACGTGTATATACTGTTCATTATTGTTTATATTGAGTCCTGTTTTCATATGTATTATGTGTATATATTGTTTGAGGACATTATTGTTTCTGCCTTAGAAGGACTGTAGCGTTCTCTCTGGATCTGAAGGTGATTGCAGCTTACAGCTTGTACAGCGGTCCTCTACCAACACTGTGGCGTCTCCCTAAGCTTGGTAGTGCCTGCCTTTGAAACAGGGTGTAGGGGATAGTAGTTTTCCATTTTTCTATTTTGTTATATAATTTTAAGCCACCAGGGCCTAAATTAAAGTATAATCATTTGTATCCATGTGGAATAAAATCGTGACGATTTCCTACACACACAGTATTTTTTCATAGAGACACTTCCCTCCCATCTGCCTTGCCTCAGAAATAAATTTAAAAGACATTTGTAACCACTGTGTTTTATCTACTGTGTGTTGTGGCCTGTTGGAGGCAAATAGATCAGAGTTTTTTTGTACCTATGTAAAAGTACTTGAAGTTTTATTTAAAATAAAATGATGTGGAAAAGGTAGCATTCTTATTTTTAAGGGGTGTTATTTTCACTACTGTTCACTACGCACGGATACAATAACAAAGTTTACAAATTGGGGAGGGGGGGTTGGGTTATTTGGTAGTGCTGGTGTTTTGTTTTGTTGTTTTTCTTCTGTTTAAAAGGCTTTAACTTACACTTGCTTGTTGCAGTCTTCGCAGCGTGTGGAGTGCCCCAGACAGCAGCAGGCTGTCTGCTGAGAGTCGGGTCTCTTGAGTTTTATGAGGGCGTAAATTCCTCTGGACCTCATTTTGTTTCACATTTTCAATATGAAAGCATGTGAGACATATCTGTTTATAGGTACATAATCAAGTTGTCATAAAGTTAATCATGCAAATTAAGCCATGAGATTCATAGTTGCGAGTTTTGGTGGGCAAAGCTGAATATTGGAAACCATTAAACAAGTAAACAAGACAGGTAGGGTTGGGAGTGGGTTCGGTGATAAAACGTTTGCTGCTTAAGTATAAGGACCTGGGTTCAGATCCCCAGCCCCCACATGAAGGCCGCAAGCACAGTGGGGCTTCTTCAGCCCTAGCTGCAAGTGATGCTGGAAGGATGGCGGGGGCTTGCCGAACCTTGGGCCCTCTCAGTAAGTCCATGGAATTCTATATTAATAAGGACTTACATGATTTGTTATACATTTGCCTATTGTATTTTATTTTTAAAAATGTATCATTTCTCCTCCACTCTTCCCCCTTCTTCCCTATGTCTAACCCCCATTTCAAATTGTTAGCCTCCTCATTCTCCATTGTTTTTACATTTACACATAAGTGAATAAACAAATACACCTTGCCAGATACACTTAGTGTTGCTTTTATGTATATATTTTTATAGGTGGCCAATGATGTTAATTTTAATTGCTCTTCATCTAGGGCCCCATGACATTTTCTCCATCCATGTTGGGACATCCACTGTTAAAACTATCTAAGTCTTGTTTGGACAGCCATATTGCTGAAATTTCCTAGGCCTAGCTCCTCTGTTACAGCTGGAAGGCACTTCCTCACAGCAGGCTTCTTGGTCCCCTGGGTTCCTTAAGCCTTGAGTGCTGGAGTGTTTTCCTTTTATCAATTTGGGCTGGCCTCTCCCTCCACCCTTCAAGTCTCTGCGTCTTCACTAGTTGCGGCTCTCAGTAATGGTCCCCTGCTACTGGGAAAGAAGTGTCTACACTCTGCTGGGACAGAGCACCGGGGGTCGTGTCTAGCTGGGCCTAGAGGATGGCTGCATGGGGAACTGGGTAAGATCCCAGTGCCTGTTATTAAGCCATTCACCTTTAACTAGTTCATGGAAAAGTGAAGAAAAACACATAAAAGGTAAGCATATAAGGAATCTCGTATGTCCTTATCAATACGGAATTCCATGAACTACTTAAACTTGTTACAAGTTTCTTTGAGACTGGTTCCTAGGAGAGAATCCCCGAGCTGTTGGAGTGTGCCTGGTTCCCACAGCCTTGCCACACTGCTCTGCCGGTGAGCGACACTCCAATGTATACTCCTTCTGCCCACGGAAGAGAACGTTAGTCTTGCCTTTGAAGTGATAATTTTCACTAATAAACTATCACAGATTTTTTAATTTTGAAAGGAGCAGCCTGTTCTCTCGAGGGTCTTGTCCCATGTAGCAAGCAAAAGTAATCGTAGCTGGTTTTAGAACTATGGAAACTGCCTCTGATGCCTGTTTTTGGCCAGTCATGCTCAGAAGCGTGTTCTGGTTACATGTGGCCGGGTAACGGCTGAGGCTAGGTGATGAGGCTGGCATTGCCAAGGACACGCGCAAGGCTGCACAGGCTCCTGGTGAGCACTGAGAGGTTACAATCATAAAGTCGCACCCGGGAGTGTTGCAGGTGACAGCTGGCTAAAGGAGGTTCTAGGATCTCCTTTGGGAGTCCTCTAAATATGTTAGTATTTAGTACTTCTCTTAAGGACTTAAACCTGGGGGAGCCGGTGACAGAATTGATGGCTGCTGCCCTTTTGAGAGTCTGTTTATTGTGTAGGATGTCCTCACGGGATGCTTTAAGAAAAGCATGCGGCGTGAGTAAGGAGTACACCAGGTGCCGAGCTCCGGCCTCCATACGTGCACGTGCAGGGGAACACAGCTGTGGCCATGTGCTTGCACAAACATCTCTCAGACAGGTTCACATTAATTGTCCTGATTGTTCCAGATCCCTCAAGCATTTTGCCACCAAAATCTTCCCAAAACTATGCGAGCCTTGATAGCATTGTGGCATGATATCAAGATGGTGACACTGTAAGAGATGAACACATTTAAAATGAAAAAAAAAATCTAAAAAGGGTGATGGCAGACTCCCCTCCTTGTATATGAGGAAATAGCTGGCACTCACGTTAGGCTCGGGCTGTAAACAGTGCAGTTGGGTCAAAGGAAATGTTTTCATCAGGCTACAGGCAGCGTAAGACCAATTTCTGAAGAGCAATGAAGAAAGCTGGCCTTCTCTTTACCCAGGCTTCTATTTGAAGACAGTGTCTGAAGAGAGTACAGTAATGGCCGTGATAACTGTGCAGATAGGCCTGAAAATTGTAAGCGTCAGGGACATGGTCGTGTTTGCCTAGAATGCCACCATTGGGCTGGCTGAGACAGGAAGACTAAAAGTTCAAGGCCAAATGATTACTTACTGAAAACTCAGAGCATACTTTCTTTGCGCCTTTGTTCAGAATTACCACATATGTTGAAGTTCCACAGAAAAAATGTTAGTATCTATTCGGCTTTGGGCTGAGCATTTTCTGTGTGCTTATTCAGTCAGCCAGCTCCAAGTGAATACTGCCATTACTGAGCAGTGAAGCCACCTCGGAGGACGGGTGGCCGCGTAGTGAAACTGAATAGGCTCTGCGGACTCCCTCCTTTCTTCTAGGTGGTTATTCTTCTGGAAATTAATTTATCAGGGCTTACACGTCTGTGGGGCTCCTGTTGCTACCTCATTAACAAAACCATAAAAATGTCTGTCAGCTAGATTACGACGGGAGGGATTCTTCTCCAGTGACTAGGGAACTATGCCCAGGTTTCCAATGCCGTGATCCTGGAAGATGATGAATCACCTGGAAGATGATCTGTGCGCCCAAGTCAACAGACAGAGGTTGTGCTGAACCGGAGACTCTAACGGGCAGGGGAGCCAGCCCTTCCCCCTCAGGTCGCCAGCCATGATGAAAGCCGAAACCGGGCACTCCTTGTTGCCTGATGTGGATCTCAGGGCTCGCTTTGCCCTTCAGACTGTCGTTTGGCTCCTGGCGCTCTTAGCGGGGAACTGAACTGCCTCAGCTTCCTTGATGGTTGCGTTTTCTGATTCTGCCTCTTTAAGATCCTGTTGGGCCAGCCAAGTTCAATTATGGATCTTTCCAGACGCAGCAGGAGTCTTGTGTTCATTGACAGGCTCTTCGTGTGCATGCAGACACTGGTGCGATTTAACTGTCTTAGGTTTCTGTAGGCAGTGGGGTGATCGGATACACATTCTCCACAGCTAGAGAGTGCTGCCTCTTACCGACGCTGTTCCTCAATTGAGTGTGTCATACATATTTTTAGACCTATCATTCTTGTGGCATTTGCTCTATTGAAGACGCCCAGGCCCTCCCCTTGAGGGAGTGCTCAGCCTTTGAGTACATCCTGAGAGCAGTGTCAAAACTGGGGTTCTATACATCATTTTGATTCAGCTTCACTCAGAAATATTTGACTTTTCAAAACATTTGCTTAGGAAAGTCTGGCATCATCATCATCATCATCATCATTATTATTATTATTATTATTATTATTATTATTATTATTATTACTATTGTTGTCATTGGAGACAGGGCTCACTCAGTTACCTAAGGCACCCTGCTAGAACTCCAGGCAGTCCCCAGGGCTGGGATTGGAGATGTGAGCTTCTCTACCTGCTAAAGAGTTTAGCTTTTATTTGCAGAAGATAGGTTGGACTCTGTTTCATGAATTCTGTTGCAATAACTTATAATCATATTTTGGAGCTTAACAATGTGTGAATAGATTACATCAGCTTCCAGGGACATCTGGAAGAGGGTCATGTCTATAGTTAACGGTTATAATAAGAGGCTCCCAGTGAATTCAGTAGTTGAAAATGAATAGGTTAATACAAAGTGGGACGTTACGAAAGTTCTCCAGGTTGCTCTCCTCTGCTCTCTGACGCTGACCACATTCTTCTTGGAGAAGTACCATCTGGTATAGTCACTAATGCCGCAAAACCGTCGACCCCGCCTTTCATTAGCCTGTGTGCGTGGTGAGCTTGTATTTCCCAGCTCCGGTCCAAGAGTTTTGAATGCAAGCATCATACATTGGTATTTCCGGTAGGTATTTTATTAGTTACGTTCACACAAATTTGCGCTGCTGGCGAAGGCTCTAACTTCTCCCTCTAGCACAGCAATTATTGGTCTTCATAGGACTCTGCTCTTTTGTTCTGATCAGCTACAATCAGCGCAGTTCCTACTGTAACTCATAATGGACACACAGCATGAGCAGAAAATACGCTTTTGTTGTTTTAAGTGACTGCGATATTAGGTCCTACTGGATCTGCATCATACCTTCGGGTACCCTAACATGCTGGTTAGCAAGCCACTGGATTAGAAAGAAGGAAAAAAAAGGTTTGGTAGGGATTCACATCTTGTTCCTCTAGATTCCCTCACTTAGCTTGAGGTTGTAGCTCACACCTATGATCTCAGCATTCTAGAGGCGGAGGCAACAGGACTGCCTTGAGTTTGAGGATACACAGCAAGAGCCCATCTTAAAGCAAGCAAGCAAATCCCGAAACCTGTCATTGAAGAATGGCCCTAAAGAGAAGTAGAATTTACAATAGAGGTACTTGAATGGAAGATGAGGTTTTTCAAGAAGCAACTAGGTGACAGTGAAAACGAAACACTGAAGTATTTTTTGCCCTAGGCTCGGAAGAGAAATGTAATGGTTAAAAGACACAGAGACACCAAGAAAAGGTGGAGAGAATTAGCTTTTGACTCAGGGAACTTTGGGGCCATTGT